AGATCCTCTTGTAAGAAATACTCCTCTATTAATATTTTTCAGAGCTATCCAAATAAAATGATTCCCTGCACCAAGGTTTATAGTTCCTTTAGAAACATAACTTAATGTATGGCTTGCTATTTTCACATCTGCAGTTTATGAATACATTTCACTTTTTTAATGTGCTGTAACTTTAAAATTCTAATTGATTGCATTGTGTTTGCCATCATGGTAAGACCATATCCATAATCCCTTTAATGCTTTATATATTTATTTATTTTAACAGAGATGTTTGCTATAGGGCACATGTGCTCACTGGAGATACAAAGAGAGACAGAGAGAGAGAGAAAGTGAGAAATCGCCACTCAGGGAATGCCACAATTCCTGCTCCTCTTTTATTCTCTCCGGATCTTGGGCAAATGTGTACATGAACCTGTGGGAGTTTCAAGCTGCCAGGTCCAGGACACGAACCACAGTTGGCCATGTGGGAGTCCAGCATCATGCCACCTTCTGGCCCCCACCGGTAGCCCTTTAAATGGAGTCATTTGTTCCACACATTGTCTAAGAGCCCAGTCCTGTCTCCTCCATAGACTCACTGCTTGCCCTCCTATATCTTTGGTTCTGTGACTCTCTAATTCTGCTTTCTTCTTCCTATCACCTTTGTCTGCTCTTTATATATTTGAGAATCATTTTGGGGTCCCTCTTCAGTCTGATCCAGAGTTGCCTCTTCTCAGTTCATCTGTATCTTCCAAAACAGGCCTACCCAAACTGAACTCTGGCCGGTTTAGGTCCCCAGTGTCCTACTATAGGAAGAAAAATGGTATATCAACTCAAGACATAAAAACATATTATTAAAGTTTATTTATTTACTTATTTCATAAGGGAGAGAGAGAGAGACAGTCACCTTCAATGGAGTCTTGCCATGCCATTATTCCTCCCTCAGCCCTCCAGCTAGTCAAGTTCACAGGTGCATGCAGTCATGCCCAACATGTTTATATGAAAAAGGTCCAAATCTCAGCTTCTCATATGGCTTCAGTATCACAGTGAGGCCCTATAGCCTGTACCACCATGGCTGCACCCCTAGTCACATTTTTATAGGGAAAAAAAAAAAACAGTAAGTACAAAAATTACCACAGGCTACAGGTAAGAGCCCTACTGAATAACTGAATCTATAATCCAAAAGCTACATTCCCAATCCTACTGAGTTTTATTTAGCCCACAGTTCAAGTGCCAAAGATAAATCTCACTTATCTCCATAATGAGAAAACAGCACATTTATCAAATGTTTAAATGTACTGCCCTAAACGTTGAGATTTGATATGCTTAATGGAATGAAAGGGATATTATTTTACAAAAGGAAGAGTAACCACTGTGCATAGGGCAAAAACCTGTAGGCTGCAGTCATCAAATATTAGAGTACTATAAAAACACCATCACTTTAAAAGTTTGGTATAAAATAACACTACCCAATAACAAAATCTGAAGATATTTGTTCCCTTAATGTAAAAAATCTTTTTCTTTAAAATTATTATTAAAAGTAGTATTGGGGGGGGGGGGGTTGTGTTTTGTTGCTATAGGGTGCATGTACTTGCTGGAGAGAACCAGAGAAAGGGCTGGAGAGAGGAAAAGAAATTGCCTTCAAGGGATGGGATGGCCACACCACAATCCTTCCTCCTCCATTCTCCTCTCAGGATTTTGGGCACACATGCCCAGCATGATTTTCTTTGTTTTTAGAGAGATTTTTGCTATAGGGAGCATGCACTTGCCATAGACAAAGATAAAGAGACTGAAAGAGAGAAATCACCCACCAGGGGGATGGCCACACCACAATGTCGTCTCCATTCTCCTCTTGAGATTCTGAGTATGCACGCACATGTGTTCAGCATGAGTTTCAAGCCACCAGGATTGGGACTCAAGCTTTAGTCGACTACATGGGAGTCCAGAGACATAACCATTATATCATCTGCTGGTCCCAACCTAGCATGATTTTCAAGTGGCTAGGTCCAGAATTAAAATAATAAAGTCAACCTGGTCACAGTGTATAATCTTTTAAATATGTGGTTAGATACGATTTGCTAGATATATTTTAAATAGTCTTACTTAGGAGAATATCTTTGTTAGAACTATTGGTAGTCTCTTATACAACAAAACCAATTTTTGCTGTCAAATATATATTTCCAAAAAAATACTTTAAAATTATATAACTCCAATTGCTTTTATTACTTTTTATTTTTTAAATTTGCCCGAGAGTGCCTACACTTACTGGAGAGAGAAAGTGGGGGAGAGAGAGAGAGTAAAAGAACTACTAAAGGGAGATCACCATGCCCCAATTCCTTCTCCTCCATTTCTCCTTCTTCTCAGAATGTTGAGAACACATACCCAACATATTTTTCAAGCCACTGGGTCTGGGACTCAAACCACATAGTCCGTCATGAGGAATTTAGCTGCCTTAACCACCAGTGTGGTTTTGAAAGTAAAAGAAGTGTCACACCTTCTTTTACTTTCAAAACCATCCTGATTTAGAGGATAAACTACATTGTCATAGTAGTAGAACAGAACCAAAGACTTTGATAAGAGCTCACACACTCTGGGACCTAGTTTCACTACCCCATAGGTAGCTTACTTCCTCTTTCTCATTCTAATCGTGTAGTTTGTTAAAATAAAAATACAAGGGCTGCCCTGCCTATGTGGTAGTCCTTTTAACTTCCCTTCCAGTAAAGATTCTCCCCTTCCCCTCAGAGGGAAGGAACAAAACTGTTCACCTACCTCACCTCCCTTCCACGGCAATTCCACCTATAGAGTAAGTAGTCTGCTCTGTACACTTTCCTTAATAAACATTCTTTCTAAATAAATAAATAACATGTGAGAAGCATAACAGGGATGTCAGAATTTCTTGAGAATTTTTTTCTGTAAGCCACTCCCAGTGAAGAACAACCTGAAAGCTTTCCTAGCATCTTTCCTAATGGGAGGAGTTAGGAATCACTGCCCAAATGTTTCTTTGCCTTATAAATGCTGAATTCAAAACTAAAGTGGCAGAACAAGTTTTTTTTTTTTCACTTTCAGCAGGGAATAATCCATTTGCACAGCATGTTCCAGGGAAGGCTGCCTTTGAGAATCTTATATCAGGAAGAAAGCGTACTTAGACTAATATCCAAATCAGTGGTACAGTAAAAGAACACAACCTGGTTGTATGAAGAGTCCTTCAGGATCACAAGAAAGATTCAGTGAGGAAAACGACAAAATTTACTACATTAAATGAGAAATTTCATGTGTGTCTTTATAGTAAAATTCAAAGTTCTTGCCTTTAAGAAGTATGGCAAGTATGGTGTAGTGGCTACCTCCTTAACATGGTAAATCAAATCCAGGACCATGTCTAAAGTTAAAGTAGTAGAAACACACTTCCTTTAAAAGTCAGGAACCAGACCAGTAGGCGGCGTGGTGGTGAAGGCTGTAGATTCTCACATGAATGATCCTGGTTTGAGTCCAGGATTTGGAGATCTAAAAATCATGTGGTTGCTCCTGTGTGCATGCCTAAATTCCAGAGAAGATAATGGAGAAGGGACTTTGGCACGGCCATCTCTGAGGGGGCGATTTCTCACTTTCCCTCTCTCTGTCACTCTCTCTCTTCAGTGAGCACACATGCCCTATAGAAAAAACCTAAAATAAATAAATAAACAGTCAGGAGCAGAACAGTCACCACTTCCATTATTTTGGCAGCACATTTATTAATATATTCAGAGCAATTAGACAAGAAACAGAGAAGAAAAAAGGGAAGGAAAAATAAAAAGAGAGAAGGACTGAGAGAAGAAGTGAAAAAATTGATGAGCAACACCCTTACTTAGGCATCAGCAAACTTTTTCTCTTTAAAGGCCTAGACACTAAATACGTTAGGTTTTGCAAGCCACAGAGTGACTGTCACAAGTACTTGACTTTGCTGTTAGAGTACAAAAGCGACCAAAAACTACGTATCAGCAAATGAATGTGGCTACACTCCATCCACTAAATATTTATGGGCACTAAAATTTAACTCTGTCACTCTCTCTCTTCAGTGAGCACACATGCCCTATAGAAAAAACCTAAAATAAATAAATAAACAGTCAGGAGCAGAACAGTCACCACTTCCATTATTTTGGCAGCACATTTATTAATATATTCAGAGCAATTAGACAAGAAACAGAGAAGAAAAAAGGGAAGGAAAAATAAAAAGAGAGAAGGACTGAGAGAAGAAGTGAAAAAATTGATGAGCAACACCCTTACTTAGGCATCAGCAAACTTTTTCTCTTTAAAGGCCTAGACACTAAATACGTTAGGTTTTGCAAGCCACAGAGTGACTGTCACAAGTACTTGACTTTGCTGTTAGAGTACAAAAGCGACCAAAAACTACGTATCAGCAAATGAATGTGGCTACACTCCATCCACTAAATATTTATGGGCACTAAAATTTAAATTTAATATAATTTTCACATGTCACAAAATATGATTCTTGTTAATTTTTTTCCCCAACCATTTAAAAATGTAAAAACCATTCTTGGTTCCAGGGCTCTAAAAAACAGGTAGACCAGACTTAGTGCTTGCCCTAGATCATTATAACAGTACTTAGTTCATTTATTTATTGTTAGTTAATTAAACAGTATCTGTTAAATATACACAAAATTATCTAATTTCTTGTTTTCTTACTTTGGACACAAAAACAAAGATTTTATAGAAAGACTATAAAGTAATCAAACTATGAAAGTGTTGCATTTTTAAAACATTTTTATTTTCTTCTCTCAAAATAAAAACATCTAATTTCTTTAGTTATTAATTCTATTTCTGTAAACAGAGTAACGTTTAAGAACTTCTATTCGCTTTATATCTAATCTGCGAGCCTCACAGACCTCTCATCGAGAACAATGGTGTACACACAGTTCCCACAATCATTCCACTTTCTTTTGTGTGTGTGTGCTGAACTCCAGACAAACATTAAATTACCTTGGACAGTAAATGGTAGAGAAGAAAGACGCCTGAAGAAAGTATTTGGCCTCATTTTATGATGACATTCAATCTTAATTTAGAGAAAGAGAAAAGAGCTTTCTTAGTGTGAGAAGCATGGGAACTGGAAAGAAATACAGAGCTTTTCAGAGAAGCCTATTTTTCCAAGTTTGCAGGTGACTGACTGCTCGTTTCTATGCAGGTGGGGTTGTAGGTCAGGGGTGTGTATGTGTACGTATCTGGAAGTCCACACCCACTGTTAGCCAGAAATATCCAGGAATACACTTCCAACAAGAACACGGGCCAGTTCAGGTAAGCAAGCAGTTTCCAGATTATTTAATCAGTGGACAGGGTCTGCTGTTTTGAAATGATCAAGTTTTGCTATCTGAAAAGTGAGGCTTAAAGTAAAGGATGGGGAAAATGAAATTAAAATTTTAATTAAATTAAAAATGAAATCTTTTCTCTTTTCCTGAACTGGATTCCCTTTGCTGATTTCATAGTTTGATTCTCTATTTTCATTAATGATATGAGAACTTACTGGCATCAACCAAATATGAATCTAAAAATTATTCTACAAATAAGAATGGTTCTTCCTTATATTCCTCTCAATTTTGTTTTGTTTTAAACTATAGAAATGTTTAATATGATATCTGAGTAAATGTTAAATTATGTATGAACAGTCAAATACTAGTGTTAGAAAATGGTCAAGGTTTATAGTGCATAATTGTACTGGGTATGTGTCTCTCAAGGGCACTGTAAGTGGCTGAAGAGGCATAATCGTGCCACAGTCATATTCAAATCATAGTGGCCCCAAGTAGTTTAATCTGCACCAGCTACTAATGGACCCACAATAATTCATACACTATTTTATGATGGAACATATTGTTCATCCAAAACAGCAATGCACAAGTTATTTATATTGCTTTGCCACAGAATATATTCAATATCTATTTTATAGTGTATCAAGCAATATAAAACAGAAAACTTAGATTTGGGGTTTTCTTTGAGTAGAAAGTATTTGATAATAATCTATAAAATATTTAAGATTTATAAAAAAAAGAAAATATGGTGCCCACTTATCTCTAAACTTGGCAGCTCTAAAACAGTAAAAATGATAAAATTACAATCATTTTTTAATGTAGGTGGTTATCTCTGTCCCTAACATGAAGAATCTTTCTAATGCTGCCTCCAGATTCACTTTTCTTAACTGTTCTTAACATCTATGATCTTGGGAAGAATCATAAGGCAATTTTGTACCCTCTCTTCTCAAAGGAAATGAAGAGAGACACATAAAATTTTACCTGAATTTTGAGGTTTTGGGGGTCTCCGATACTTCATCCATAGACCTAGAAGCCCACTGAATCCAGGTTAAGACCCTGTCTTAGATGGTTGCTTCAGTTTTCCCATTTCAAATTTCTACCCACTTGATCCTACCCTCTCCAGGTTGGGGTCTGTGTTCTAAATTTATCTATCCATAGCTCCTATAAAAACCTACTTGTCTTTGTCTTTGTCTTTAAGGTACAAAATGACAAGCACAGGATGATACTTTGAAAGGTTTTATGGTTTAATAAATATGAGAACTTAGGTTGAGATACTTATCAGGTACCATGGTTATTGTTTAACAGGTTTTTAATGCCTGGATACAAAAAAAGTAAAAAAAAAAAAAAAATGTCTATTGCAGATGAGTGAGAAAAATTATTTCAATAGTTAACTTAGAGTAGCCACCATTTTCAATCCAGAGAAGAAACACCACTGGAAAGAAGAAATATTGAAAGAAAGGAATGAGGAAATGTCTATAAACTTCTCCACCACCAAGTTGCTGTCCTCCTCCATGACTACAGTTGCTATTTTACATAATTAGACTATTACAATTGCCAAATGTTTTACCAGTGCCAAAACATTGTGCCTTAATCTTTCAATTTTCCACAATGTCTACTGCAGTTAAACATAGCAACTTCCATGCTTGAATAGAATCCTTGAACAGTCAGTCATTGTATTTTTAGCTAGAAAAAAATGGACTATTTTGGTGGAGAATTCACCACCAAATACTAAGAAAAAAAAAACATTTAAAAGGAATTTTCAATAAATATGAAGGGTGTGTATGCATTTATTTCACATTTTGAGGTGATTTCAAAATAGCATGTGTCAATCATTTCCAAATGAGGTTTATGTACTAAGAATGCTATAACTGGATATCCCACAAATTTTAAATACTCCCCGTAATATATTTATCAAGTATTTTAAGACCTGGTCAGCTCTAACTCTGGAATTTTGATTATTTCTTAACATGCAAAGTATGAGAGGACAGTATATGAAATTAAGAATTGATTTGAAGGCCAACTCCACAATGCAGTAGTTAAGCACTGGTCAAGAGAAGTTGGATCCCACATGCTGACCAACCCAGTCTGTCTGAAACACAGTGGGCACATGCACCAGTGCTCAAAATCTGACAGACCGGAGGACTGGCGGAAGGATACTGCATGAACAGACACTGTGGAGAGTGTACCTCCACTTCGCTCTCTCTCTCTCTTTCTCTCTCTGACTCTAATGTGTATATGTACATGATCTATAACAAACAAGCAAAGAGAACAAAAAAACAGAATTTTTTTTAACAGAGATTTTGCTATAGGGCACTTGAGTGCACCAGAGAGACAGAGAGAGACAGAAAGGGACAAATTACCACTACCACCTTCCCGCCCGGAAGGGAGGTCATGCCACAATCCCTTCTTCTCCATTTTCCTCTCTCAGGATTTTGAGCACACACGCACATGCACCCAGCATGAGTTTCAAGCCACCATGTCCAGGACTCAAACCAGTCAGCCATATGGGAGTCCAGCAACCGTTATACCATCTGCTGGTCCCAAGTCTACTCTTCTTTTGCATATATTTAATTTATAGTAATATGGCAACACTTGACTTTTTTAAAAGAGCTATGTTCTAAACTGAAAGGCAAAAGGTGTAGTAATTGTTGGAAGGATGAGAAAAGTAAATGGCTACAGAAGAATTGAAGAACAAGAATCCTCCGTGTTCTATTTTTTTCCTTTGATTTCTATTTTAAGCAATATTTGTTCTTGCCTAATCTTATCTTAGTATAGAGCTAAATCTACTTAGAAACAGAAGAATCAAGAAATCAAAAGATAGAAAGTATTTCTGTGTGCTAGAAGGCACTTCTGAATTGAGCATTATAATTTAAAGGTCATTTAAAATAAAATCATATTTGAGTTTCATGGTGTTGCTCTTAGTATTACAGTTCAGTGTGGAAGTAGGCTTTGTATGCCCTGAGCCAGTTCTTTTTCTTTTTCTAAATTTAAATTTGCCAGAGGTCATGTACACCCTGCAGAGAGACAGAGAGAAGGAGAAAAAGAAAGAGCCCTTTCCCCCGAAAGGAGAATGTTCATATCACAATCCCTTCTCCTTCATTTCCCTGCCATTTGATGATCTGGGCTTGCATGCACATGTGTGTTGGCCATGTGGGATCCAGGTCCCTTAACCAAAGACCATGAATCTGGCACCAAGTTCTTTCTCAACTACATTACACTATGCCCAGGATGCCCAGAACATGGCTTTTCACCAACTGAACACTTACTTAGTTGATTGAATTTTTAAAATATTTGAATAATAAAATGTGAACAAAAGTCTAGGCAGTTATATCTGGCTGAACCAAAGAAACAGAACAATCTGTCAGCAGAGGTTTGGCCCAGTTCTTAGCAAATATCTTTTAATGACAGCTTGAAGTAATCTACTAAACTCTGAAAACTATTTCCTTCCTTCCTTCCTTCCTTATTTGCCAGAGGGTACATGTGCTCACCAGAGGCGGAGGTAGGGGAGAGGGAAAAAGTTTCCCCTATGGAGAATGGTCATGCTGTAATACCTTCTCCTCTATCTTTTCCTCTTTTCAGGATTTTAAGTATACATGCACATGTGCCCAGTGTGTTTTTTTCAAGCAACTATGTCTGGGACTCAAACTGCCTAGTTGATCGTGTGGGAGACCCTAACTACCAAACCACAGGCTGGCTCTATAAAAACTCTTTTCTGTCATTTAGCTTCTTCTGAGAGACTCTCTTGAAGACATGATGGTATACTCAGCTTTGGCCCTCTGTCTCCTACTCTTCACAGTTTCTTCCAACCTTGCCATTGCCATTCAAAAGGAAAAAAGACCTCCTCAGACACTTTCAAGAGGTATTGTAATCTTGTTTTATTTTCTAAACTCAGTCATTAACATTATTTGTTAACTATCGAGTGCCTTCACCCATAGTGTAGTTATAAAGGAAACTTAATGAACTGGAAAAATTTTGTTGTGTATGACTTCGAAATGGACTTTTCTAAAAGGAATCAATTGGTTTTAGACATTAAATCAAATCAACTGGAAACTAGTCTGTATCTTTCACAAAAATAGTAGAGAAATTGCTTTGCTTTCTACAACTTTGGTAACTCGAGTCCTAGAAAATAATGATTGGTTGACATGATATCTTAAAAGCAATTTAAGAATTCTCAAAATTTGCTCAATTTCCCAGTCCTCAATTTATTAAGGTCAGAAAATAATTTAGAGTGACATTATAAAAGGCTATTAATAAAGTATACTTTATCCCAAACCCAGAGAATTTGACTAGGGAACACTGATGCAGTGGCTTGAGATATCACAGTCTAGATTCATCATTGGCTACATGTTTAGAAAACATTTTTATTTGTAAGCTTAATGTTTCACTTTAGCCTAAGACACAAATATGTATCTATCCCTAAAGAAACATTTAAAGAAAAAAAATATTCTCAAAATTGGCTCTAACATCCCCAGGTAACAGAAATAGGACCAGAATCATTTGTCCCCACATGGCTCATTCAAAATTAGCAGGATACATGCAAAGCACTTGAAATGGTAATGTGAATAGAGCAAACAAATGGAGACCAACTAGTATAATTTAAATTCTTAAACACTGGCTTTCCAAGTTTATTCATTTTTAAATGAATTTATTGAATGTAAGCCATCAATGTTTATTCAAGTTAATTCTACTTTAACTTAACAATTACATGAACTATATACACAGAAAGTAAGTTTTTACAAAATAAAAGAAAATAGTTTTCTAAATAAAATTTATCTTATATCTCCCTCTATAAATACTATAGTTATGAAACATAAATTCAATAGCCTTAAAATACCAAAGACTAACTTAGTTATGGCCTTAAAGACCTATCAGACAATGGGAGTAAGCATTATTGCTCTAACTATACCGTAACACATCAACAGTCTGCATGCTCACTTTTAAATATCTATTTAAAACTTTTAGCAAATTAAAAAACATATAGTGAGTATTTATGGCATATTTTAACCAATGTTATCAGCCTACTATTCTAATTATTAAGAAACTATTTTAGCTGGGAGGATGACTGACATTAGCTGAGAACCCTATAATTAAAACTTGATTTATATTTGGTTAAGACTTTTACCATCAGGGCTGGTGGGTGGCATGGTGGTTGAGGCACTAGACTCCCACATGGCCAACTGTAGTTCAAATCCTAGACCCGGCAGTCCAAAAATCACAACAAATAAATAGATAAATAAATATTTTTAAAAACTTTTACTATCTATTGCTATATAGGAAACGAGAGAAGGAGGCTCAGAATGAATAAGGATTAGAGTAGGGATGAGAGGAAGAAGTTCAAGTACAGTGTACAAATAAGCAAATGGAGCCCTTTAGGACAGAAGGCAGTATCAAAAAGTTAAGTAGAGAGGTTGGCAAGGAGAAAGGGGATTAATTAGAAATAGGTAATAGATGGTTCAAGGAAGAAAATACGCACACACACACACAGAGACACACGCACAGTGATTAAAAAAAGAAAAAATCCCAACTTCCTTTGAATCAGAACTGCCCAGCATCTACTCTAGTTCCTAGCATACAGTATATACTCAATAAATACATATAACATGAACTAATAAAAATCTCAGAAGACAGGAACAGCCATTGGCATAATGGCTATGTCACTGGAGTCCCATGTAGTTGACCCCGGTTCGAGTCCCGGACCTGGTGGCTTAAACTCATTCCAGGCACATGTGCATGTGTGCCCAAGATCCTGAGAAGAGAATGGAGGAGAAGCGATTGCGGTGTGGCCATCCCCCCTGGGGGGTGATTTCTCGCTTTCTGTCCCTCTGTCTTTCTCTGTCTTTCTGGTAAGCACACATGCCATATAGCAAAAATCTCTCAAAAAAAAAAAGAAGAATCTCAGAAGATAAGAAAACATAGCCAGAGTTAAAGATAGAGTTGAGAATTTATATTCTGTACCACCTTTGGCTTATTGTAATCAAGAGAGTATATAAAAAATAATTATAATACAATGTAGTACCCCTACAGAGCTAAAAATTATTGTCTTGAGAGTAGGAATTACATTTTATCTTTTTATTCCCAGTACTCAGTGAACTAAGACATGTACTTGATGTTCCTGGAACTAAAGAACTAATGTTTGTGGAACTAAGTTGAATGAGAGCAGAGAATAGGAATTTTTCTCAGTGCTAAAGCTTCTTATTGAATGATATTTGTACCAGAAGAGGGAAAATTAAACCAGGGTCTAATTTTACTTGTTATTTCCATAGTAATTTTGTTTCATGCAAAAGGTGGTATGAAGACACTGCACATGTTCAAGCAAAGTTGGAACCTTTCAGAATTATTACAGAAAGAGTTCCTGGTAAGGTGCAACATTAAACTAACAAGAGATGTCTTCCAATGTTATAATTTTAAATCAAGTGAAAGCAAATCATGAGACCGATGAGAATATAAAATGACACAACCACTTAGGAAGCAATCTGACAAAAAGTCTAAAAAACAAAGTGAAAACACAAAGTGAATTATGGAGTTCCATTTAACTCAGTAATTCCACATATAGGTAAATATTCAAGAGAAATTAAAACAAACACCCACTCAAAAATTTATACACATGTGTTCATAGCTGCACTATTCAAAAAGAAATAACCCAAAGAAATAACCCAAAATGCCCATTATGTGATTTATGAGTAAATAAAATGTGGCTTACCCACACAAAGGAATAATAGTCTATCATAAAAAAGGAAATATGCATAACATGGATGAACCTTAAAAACATCTATGCAAATTGTCAAGTTTAGGGGTCAGCAGGTGGCATGGTAGTTAAGGTATTGGACTCCCACATGGCCGACTGTGATTTGAGCACGAACCTGGCATCTTTCTCTCTCTTGTGAGTGCATTTGCCCAAAAGCAAATTAAATAATAATAAATAAAATTTTAAAAATAATTATTTGGAAAACATTTCAAATGTATAGTGACAGAAAGTAGATTAAAGGGTTTTCAGGGCTCAGGGGGATGGAAAGATGGGGGTGAATATGGATAGCTAAAGGCTACAACATTTCTTTCTGAGGTGATGGAAACATTCTAAAATCTATTAGAGTTATAGTTGTACAAATCTGTAAATATACTTCTTAAAAGTATATACTTTCAATGGGTGAATTGTGTTGGTATATAAAATATATTTCAAAAAAAAATGTTTACCAAGAAACAATCATACAAAACAAACAGGCAAAAACCATGGAATCACGTTTTTCTTTCCTTTTTTAAAAATTGTCAAAGGACACATGCTTTTGCCAGAGAGATACAGAAAAATAAGAGAAGAAGGGACCATGACCACCAGTGCAGCATGGTCACTCTGCATGCAGTCCCTTCTCCTCCATTTCTCCATCCTGCTGGGATTTGGGGGCACTCATGCACATATGCTGGAGAGTTTTTCAAGACTCGGAGGCTGAGACTCAAACCATGGTCAGTCATGTGGGATCTGGCTTCTCTTAACCACAGGCTTCAGGGCCAGG